CCAATGGGTTTAGTGTTTCTATTTTAATATTTAGATCTTTGATCCATTTTGATTTCAGTTTAGTGTACAGTGAGAGATGTTGGTCTAGTTTTAATCTATGGAAAGTTGAAATCCAATATTTTTCTAGCACCATTTATTAAAGAGGCTATCTTTCCTTCAGTGAGGACATTTGGCTCCTTTGCCAAAGATGAGGTGGCTGGGTATGTCTGGAGTTGTCTTTGAATCTTCTAATTTATTCTACTGATCCTCAGGTCTGTTTGTCAGTACCATACTGTTTTTATCACAGTGGCTTTGTAGTATAGTTTCAAGTTGGGGATTGTCATGCCCCTGTCATATTTTAAAGATATTTTATGAGCTCTTTAGTCCCTTGTGAAAAGTATAGACTGGGAGAGATGTTCCTGCCATAAAGGATTATTGCACAAGATTGCAGAAATAAATTTCAAATGGCTCATAAAAACAGCTTTCTTTGAAATCTTGACATCGCTTTATTTGTCCCACTATCATGTATGTCTTTATCCTACTGTCTCACAAACAGCCAAGAATATCTTTGTTTTAAACTAAAGTTTACACAAATGGCTAAATGTCTGTTCTAAATTGGTAGTGTCTTCTTCAGTATAGATCTGAAAACCACGAGTAAAGGTGATGTGCAGTGGAGACATATGAAGTGAATTTCCCTTTAGTATGGATGGACTTGATCACTACTACATGGAGACTAACAGTATTGATGCATACAGTGTAAATGAACTTCAAGGATATTCTCCCCAGTCAAATACACCAGCTACCAAAGGACATATATTATATGCTTCCCTATATAATAAATATCCAGAATAGATAAATCCAGGCCTGAGCTTGAGAGGATGGAGGAATCAGGTAAGAACTGCTCAACGAGTATGGGCTTTTATTTGTTGTGATAAGAATTTTTTAAAACTAGATTGTTTGCACAACATTGTGAATGTACTAAATGTCTCTGAATCATTCACTTTGAAGGATTTATGCCATGTAAAATTCATTTCAATAAATTATTTCTTTAAATATCTGAGTTCTAGAACCAATATACCGGAGATTACATCTTGACTCTGTCATATTTTAGCTTTGTAGCTCTGGGCAAGTTATTTTAATCTCCTAATTTTAACATTTTGCTTTTAATTTTCCATTCCTTAAACCTCATCTGGAGGCAGTGACTATTAGCCTATTATGTAGATAGGATTGTGGGGATGGTGTGAGAAGAGGTACAGAAGCCTTCCGTACTTGGTAGGCACATCACTCTTAGGAAGTTGTAATTACAGCTACAGCTGCTACTGTTACTACTTGTTGCTATTTCTGTTACCACTATCACAAGAAGTCATAGTAACTATATTCCAACTCACCCAGAATCTTGGTGTAATCCAATAACTATTTTGCATTTGGTAGTCTTGCTTCAAGGACTTTATTTGTGATCAAGCCATGTGACACTGACTTCTGGAGGCTGAATTTCCTCAGTGGAGTCTTTCTCCCAAATGACAAATTTTGGATTAAACTTGTTTTAAATTAATATCAAAATGAAAAAGAGTCTGAGGAAAGAATGAATTAGTATCAGATACCTAAAACATTGGATTATCAGCATCCTTGCGAGTCCTTGTCTCCAATTGTTTTTTGTTCTTGTATCCTTCTTTACCAAGTAGGAATCAACCCTTGGGGTGAAAAATGTTATACATGGATGCATTTAAAGAAAAATTTAAGAACTGATGGACACACTTTAGGCATCAGTTGAAAGTTGTCTTTGGTCTGTAGAGAAAAGTATGTGTTACATAAAGGTGCAGCTTGTCAGTGATAGATCTGTGAATTCTTTAGAAACACCATATCCACAGTAACTACAAGAAAAAAATGCTCAGCAGCATTTGCCATTATGGAAATGCAAATCAAAGCAACTCTCAAAATTCTGTTTTACTCCAGTCAGAATGGTTATCGTGAAGAACACAAAAAGCAGCAAATGCTGGTCAGGTATGGAGAACAAAGCCTTCTTCATTGATGGCGGGAATGTAGTCTAGTACAAGCACTATGGAACTTAATATGGAGATTCACCAAAAACCTAAAAATAGAAATTCTATTTGACCCAGGTGTACTGCCCCTAGGTATCTTCCCCAAAGAATTAATCATGTCATTCTGATACATGCATACTCATAGTTATAACAGAACAATTTACAATAACTAAGTTATGGAGACAGGCGAGATGCCCATCAACAGATAAATAGATAAAGAAAAAGTGTTATATCGGCATAGCCACTTCCTTGTCACTGGGATGCAATATCTAACACCCACAACTTAAAGAATGAGAGGTTTATTTTGGCTCACATTATCAGTCCATGCTTGGTTGGCTCTAAGGCAGCAATGGCATGGTGAGAGGGCCTAACGGAGGGAAACTGTCCACATCATGGCAGCTAGAAAGCAGGGAGGGAAAGGAGAGCCTGGGAAGGGAAATAGTGTGTACCCTTTCAGGCCCTGCCCTCAGTGATACTTCTGTTTCTCTCTCTCTCTCTTTCTTTCTTTTTTGGTATCGGGAATCGAATGGTACCTTCTGATTGAGAGGCTGGTGGTGGCACCACTGAGCTAAATCCCCAGCCCTGCACAATCCGGTCACCTTCCAAACTTCCCACTCTGAACACATGAGGGCTTGGGGAGGCTTTCTAGATCTAAGCTATAACATATATACACAGTGGATTTTTATTTACCCATAAAAGAGGAATTAATTCATGCCATTTATAGGAAAATGGATCTCAAGTCCATAAAGTTAAGTGAAATAAGTCAGACCAGAAGGTTAATGTTACCTGATTTCTCTTATATGGAAACCCAAAATATAAATATTAATGAGAAAAATAAAGGTGAGCTGGTAGGAAATAGGGAGGTAGACTTTTTGGGAATGAGGCAGGGGCTTGGGGAAAGGGTAAGGGAGAAGATAGGGGGAAGGGAAAGAGGATAAAAAATTATAAAGATATGATATGCATGTACACCAAGTCCCCAAAATAAATATAAACTGAGGATGACCAAAAAAAAAAAACATGTGAATAAAAAATACTACAGTAAAAGAGACATTGTCATTATTCCCCCTTAAAATACTCCTTTCCCTTCAAACACACTCATTCTATCATTCTCGCCACTTTCCGAAGCAGTCCTGAAAGTCTTTTTTGAGTGTCTTTACAGGGAATGATAAAAATTATGGTGAATTCTGCTAAGTGCTATCTAAAAGAGTGGTAGACTTGTAAAAACATTGCACTGTGCCTTTTGTCTACCTTTACTGAATCAGACAGTGCAACCTGTGGCTTTCTTTAAAGTCAAAATACTTGGAAAGGTAAATGTTTCCAATCGATTCAAGACATTGAGGCCCCCCAGGACAGTGAAACTAGACCCTCTTGAAGGAAGACTTCCAGAACTGCTTCAGAAAGTGGCAAGAACGACGGGATGAGCATGTTCAGAATGAAAAAGACTATTTTCAAGGGCATTAATGACAATACATCTTTTACTATAATAAATTATTTTAAATTTAAAGTCATTGTATTTTTGATCAGAGTTCATATTATATATTGCAAACATGTGCCAATAAAATAGAAAAATATACATATATATTTTTATTAATAGAATTCTCCAAAGAGCTGAAAACACTTTTGCTGCTTTACCAATGGGCATTATGTTACCTATACATGCTTTCCTTTTATTTGTTCTTCTTGTGGGCTCCTCATAAGTTGGCTGAAAAAAGTGTCTTTAACAGATAGAAATGTACTGTTTTATTAAGCGGGCAGCAGCACCGCTGAGCTAAACTCCTGGCCTCCTGTACTGTTTTGTTAAATCTTCCTGAGAGGCTAATTTATTCTCCTGAAGTCTTATCAGATAAGATGCAAAGAATACCCAATAGGAATACCATTTACTGGATGAGGCAACAAAAGAAAAATCTGATGGAACATGCTCCCCTCTATCCAGTTTGTTCTTTAAGGAGAGAAATAAGAAGAGGACAGTGACTTTTATGGACAGAGCATGGCCACTACATGTGATAGAGCTATGGGACATGGATTTTCATCCCGATACTGTGATTAGCCTGCCTTAAGGACGACTTAGCTTTTGGAGTTTCTATATCTTCATGTGAAGAATGCAGATGATAGAACTCTTTTCTAACAGCTGTTGAAAATATTGCTTGAATTTATCTGTTTAAAGTGACTTAGTGCTCAGCAGACATCTGATAATAAATTTCATTTTCCATTTACACTGAAAACTTTAAGAGAGATGCTATGGAAGCTTTCATGATCGTAAGAAGCCAGCAATTTTGCATCTTATTATGGGTTAGGAAATTTTACTTAAGTGCTTTGTCTATTTGCTCAGTTAAATTCTTTCCTACCTCAGTTCTGTGTGGCAAACATTATTATACCCAGCTGTGGAGCACGAGGCTTAGAAAAGTTAAGGAATTTGTTTGTAAAGGCTCTGCTAAAATGTATGAACACTGAGATCCCAACTCAAGCCTCTTTGACATTGAACTTGTACACAGAACCTCTTCTATTGACAAAAGGCCTGAACCAGGTTAGTTGTTCTGAAGTCCAGGGAACTACATCTTGGAAATATGCAGTAGACTTTGAACAGTGCTTATAGATTTCCTAGGTCAGATTTCTAGCTTTGGGGAGACACTCTGTGTCTGGGGTCATTGTCATCTTGGACCCAGAGAATCCATTCAGCTGGATGTCCCACCTCAGAGGGACTTTGTGATAGGAGGGACAGATTCTGAACAGGCCTAGAATATGACAGGAATAGACCTGCAGACCACCGCCTTGTGATAAGACAGGTCAGACAACCGCTGTGCAGTTGTGTCAAGGAAAGCCATGTGTGGAAATATATTTCTTCCCCAAATCCTGGTGCCTCTGCAAGGGTGGGACTGGCACTGCTGTTCTTGGCTTTCACTGGAAGCACTCCAGGCTGCTTAGGTAATGAGCTTCCTGGGTTTATTCATTAATGGGCTTCCTGCTTTCCCCCTCCTTGGACAGGCCCAGCTGTGAGATACAGCAAGTTCAAGATGTCAGAGGCCAGGCCACCTCCCCTGCTCGGGCAGCATACAATGCACATCCTGAAGGACGTCCTCAGATATGATGACAGGACCATTGGGGAGCTGCTCAGCACTGGTGTGGTGACCCAACACGAGGCCAAGTGATACAGGAAAAAGGCTCTCAGAACACAATCTGAGTGCATTTTGCTGTCAAAAGCAGTTCTCCATCTGGATCCTTCTTCCCTCATCTGATGCCACGATGAAGCAGTTAGAGGAACTCCAGGTTTCCTGCCTGGCATCTCTGGAATGACTCTGGGACGAATGAGTCCTCTGCACTTCAACTGCACCCCACATCATATTCCCTAGGAACTTTTTTCAGATAATAGTCTAACTGTGCATTTGTGGATTTTTAAAATAAAGATTTAATTCTGTTCTCACTGCAGAGAAGTATGTAAAGTGACAGGTATGCTAAGTGTTTTGGTTCGATCCTTTCATAATGTATAGATGTATGGAAACAGGACATTGTACTCCATAAATACATGCAATTCCTATTTGTTAATTAAAAGTAAAATGAATCTTTAAATGATTTAATTTTTTTTCTGGAAAAATTCGCTCCTCATTCTAATTATGCTAATGGCCTAAATGTTTGCCTGTTCTGCCCACACAAGCCTGAAAAAGTGCACATCTCTTGACGTTCTCTACTTGTACATAAAGTCCTCATTTAAATCTTTGTTAGGAAGTCAAAGTAATAAGCAGGATGACAGTCCTGGTGATGGATTTTAAACAGAATAACTTAATTTTGAGCTCTTGAACCCTTCGTTAGTCTGTAATTTAAACCACGGGCTTTGCTGATGTCCCTTGTAAAACTGAGCTCCATTCTCTGCTGTGGGAGTAAATATTTGCTTTATGTTGTATTTCTCTGGTGATTTCATGATACGTGGCAGAAAATCAATTTCTACCAATGCTCTTGGAGTATAGGCATCTATCTGCATGAGTGGGTGAGTAGTGACTCTTCAACTAGTACCGTATTTTGAGGCACATCCAAACACAACAGGCTTTTAAGTGAATGCTGGATAACTTTCCAGGTATCAAATAAAGTATAAATAATGACAAATAGGAGAATGACAGGAAAACATTTGTTCATTGTCTGAGTGCCCACTGTAGAAGACAATATCATGCTTCATTTTGTCAGCAAATGCAAAGTACAGAAAATCTTCTGTCTAGAAGATGAGAAATTATTAGGACACACCTTTCAGGATAAATTGACAATCAAGATTGCCAAGACTAGGTACAGACCAGAGAATCACACGCCCCATGACCAGTATCCTGATGTGACCTCAATTCATGCTGTTAGGCACACGTACTTTAAAAGCAATGTCATTACATGCCAAGTGGTAATTGGAGGCAAGTTACAGATGTTAATCTTTCAAACAGTGATTTAGAGCTCGTATTCTTTACATGTTCTTTTCAATTGGAATGATTTGAGTCATTTATTCATGCTGTAAAGACCAATATGTTTCTAGAATCAATGATTCCAAACAAATAAAATCCTTATCTGCTGACAAGACCTCAAGAGATATTTTAGAAGAATGCTTACAATTTTTAAAGTGATTAAGGTCTCCCTTGCTTTGCTTTTTGTGAAAAGCAAAAGAACTCTTGCTGTTCAAGAACTCTTGAGAATTTCATCACACCTGTTCTTTTCCCCCCATACCTAATTCACAGATTCATGTTTGGAGACATGTACTTCAGGTGCTGTGTTCAAACACAATTTCTTTGTGTTCATACAATTAGTGTAGAAATCGGTAAAAGATTGGATACAAAGAACTGACAAAACCACATATCCCAAAAAGCAGGTCTACTATTTCTCCTGCTGACCCAGGTAGATATCTCAAAATATAAATTAGTTTCTGAGCAATAATCTGAAACACCCAAAAAGCCATATGAAGAGAGACCTTGATCCCCTAATAGGGATCAGAAAATGCTTCTAAAACTTTCAAGCCAATAAAGACATTTCAAACATTTTTGTCACCGCTGAAACAAAGACACTATCTCCAGTATAA